AGTGGTATATATGTAAATAAAATGTTTAAATTTCATTTAGCTCATATTTAATTTTAATTTTAAAATGTGTGTTAGGTTTTGATTATGTTCAAGATTAAGTTTAATTTGTTTAAGTTAAACTTCAATTAAGTTTGATTTTAAATTAGTCTTGATTTAAAATTTAGATTGTATTTAATCTGAGATTTGGTTCAATTTATAATGAGTTCTAATTTTAATGTTATTATTAGGCTTCAATACATGTTCAATTCTAAAATTAGTTTGTTTAGGTTTATTTTCTTAACTTCATTTAGTTTAATTTTAATTTATGTTTAAATTTAAATTTAAGTTTATTTTTATGTTAATGTTAATTTCAAATTGTTTTAAATTTTTTAATTTTTAAATTTTTAATTGAGGTAAATTTATGTTTAATTTTTAATTTGTGACTTGGATTATAATTTTAAGTTATATGATTTTAACTTCCTTTTTTATTTGTTTTGATATTAATATTTTAGTGATTTATGACTATGATGATGATTATTATTATTCTCCAAATTTTGTAGCACCAACACACCTTAAATGGAGTCCAATTTGGGCGCAAGCAGACTCAATTGAACGGTATCGAGGATCCAGACACACTCACCTGATCTGTTTCATGAAATGATGCTCTGAAAGAAAATTTTTGCTTGGAAGAAGATTTTATATAAGAAAACTTAAAATGCCTGAATCCACGTAAAAATTGTTTCAAAATTTTATTGAATGGCAGTATGCTCCTCCAAGCATAATGATGAATGCGATGCAATTTACAGAATAAAGTTCCAAGCCCTACGACAAGGCGGGGAGACAACAATAGGTTTGGGTTTCTTTTCTTATATTAAGTAGATTTAGTTCAAATTCAGGTTTTAATTTAAGTTCTTGTAATTATATTTCAATTTGTGTTGATTTTGAGTCAAACCCATCCGAGCCAACTCAAGCCTTAAATTAAGCCAAGGTCAACGTGGGTTAACTAGGGGTCCAAAGGTATTTAAGTCATGAAGTAGAGTCTCTAGGCTGACTTGGCAATCTATAATTCATGTCAAAGGACCTATGTGCACTCAACCTTTATTTTTAACGATCTAGCCAAGATTAACTCAGTGCCAAAGTATGGGTCAAGGATCATAGGCTCTAAAGGAGTGGGAGAAGGGAGAATTTAGACCTCACCAAAAAGAAATCAACAAATATTGGAGATCTAGTCAAGGGCTTGAAATATCCTTATAAATTGATGTAGAAGAGTTTTTAAAGGCCGTACTTGATATACATTGCCATAGTGGCAATGTTTTTATGAGGCTCTATTTTATGTGGTAACTTACTTTCTTATAATTCCTCTATGATAAATAATATCATAATTTTTCTTGACAACACGACTACTATCCAAGTTAATACCTCAATATTATCTTAAAATATTAGATTAGTTGGTTGCTATCTTCATGACTAAATATGTGTTAATTTTGAGTATGCATCCTGAGAATATTTTTGCGGCCTAAAGATCTATGATTTAAAAGGTTTTTATTCTGATACTTATGTTCATTCATAGCAATAAAATCTTCTATTATACATTTCTTACAATCTTGAGATAGTAACCTCAAGCTTGCATCATGTTTTCCCTTACTATTACTACTTGTCCATCTATTAAAAATTTTATTGCAACAAAGTAGTAATAGATGACCTCACTAAAGGTGTTCATATATAATCATAACATTCACCATGATAAAAGTCAACTAGACACATGTATTTTTGCACTCCTTATCTTTATGCAATAAACATAGTAATCAAGCCTATAATCTTATAACTCTTCAAAAAAAAACTTAGAAATGAGTTATAACTGGTGTCAAGTGGGTAAATCCCAAATTCATCTTCTAGAATGTTCATAGAAAATAATTTTGAGAGAGATTTTGTTGTCAATTAGAATGCTCCTTATTTTTTAAAAATTGATTATAGTTGTGACCGCCACTACATCATTGAAAGTTTTTTCTTATGGATTTCCTTCAATAGTAGTAATAAGTGTAATTTTAGTGTTAAGCACCAAGGAGGTGGGTTAAGTTTACCTTACATGCAAAAATTCATTTATGACTAGCTTATTAGGCTACTTGTACTCTGACTACTATATGGATGACTAGCATCACACTCATAATATAGACTGCTTAGCCCATATTTTGCTCATTCTTCAACTATTCCATATATGCCTTCCCTAACCTCTTAGAGTTAGCTAGGAAAAACACCCTCTTGTTTGTGAACTTTAATCAACTATTGTACCAATTTCTTAATTTTTTGCAATCTTTTATGTAATTTATGGGTTTCTTATGAAACAAATAGTACTTATAGGTGTTTCTTAAGTGTCTACCAACTCTTATTAGTGCTAGACACATAAAGAAATCCTTATTTTAAATATCATATATGTGTTCATACTCTGACACCCATTGTGGGGTAGTGATTAGAAAATGATACTTTAGTATATGGTGTCCCAAGATGGTGTTGCTAAGTTGGGTAACAGTTTTAAACTTTGCAAAGTTGATAAGCTGATAATTTTGAATGGCCTTTCAAATTAGATATTTTTCAGTTGACAATATGAATGGTTTTAAAACTGTAACATTCACTCTGTTCTTTTAATCTAAGGTTGGCTCGTGTTATTATTTCATGACCCAATGAAGGTCATTTCATGCTAAAGCATCCTTTTGGGAACCAAATATGTGGAGCTTAACTGCACTGTTATACTCATCTCAAATGATATGATTATTTTAAAGTTCTAATAACCTAACCTGAATTTTTTGTTATTGTAACTCGATTGCACTACTAAATGGCCTTTATTGTAGATCTTAAGCTAGGGCAGGTTTGGTGATTGCTAGGTTAGGGTCTATAAAATCTAGCATTTCCTTGGAATCTCATTATGATATTTTTTATGAGAATCACTCAACTCTTATATTAACTTTTGTAGAATCTTCTAGTCAAAAACCATTTGAAAAGCAATTTCTAGAAGTAATAAAAGATAGAAGATAGTTTAGAGCATCACTTATGCCAAGTAGTGGGATAACTGGCATAGAGTATGCCATGTAGTCAACTACATTAGAATTTTTTTTGTGTGTGCTTCTAGGTGTGATATTTTGATATTTATTGGAGCTTCACTTCTACAATCTTATAATATAAATTTATTTAATTCTCATTGACAATTGGTGTAGAGTTCACTTAATGTTTATCTTAGTATGATGGAAGCTTAGGAGCCTTCTCAATTAAGAGAGACGAGAACCTAATAAAAGAGCTATGGTACCTGAAGAGAAGCTTAGATGAAACTTATTCATCAAAACCCCAAAACATTAGAATACTATTGATATCTTGTCTTACTTTCCTCCATCTAACTCTTTATTTATAAAGTTTTGGGCTTTTGAAAATGTGTGTGTGTGTCTATACACACACACACACACACATACGTTCCTAGTTCAGTTGGTAGAACATTTGTTTTGGCGGTATAAGCCCTCTCTGTACTGGGGCTCGAATCCCCCCCAGACGAGTTGTCCGCTATATGGGGTTGGTACTTGAGCGGTTAGACGCATGGGTCCAACCAAGACCTAACGGCTTAAGAGCCAGGAGTGGTTGGCGGTTTCGCCCGTCTACCATCTTTTAATATATATATATATATATATATATATATATATATATA